CAGAAAACCGGATCTTCAAGAGCCATGAACTCGAACCCTTTTAGGGTATTTACTACCTCACTGAGGTCTATCGATCAATGTACAAATCATTGGAATCGGAGGGATACATCTCGGGAGGTGCCCTCGTAAGTCCAGAAAGAATGTAGATACTTCAAATTAAGAATATTTATATTTAAGTTGTAAAAGGCTCACCCAAACGAAATCTTTACAGTCGTACTGAAGATGATCAGGAAATATTTCTTGACCGATGAATAAACTGTACTGAAAACTTTTCAAACCTTGTTCATACAACACCTTGTCTATAACCGTACTATTGCACTTTGAGGTATTTTTCTACCAAGTCTGTTTGTGGATGAATAATTGTTTTTGAAGCATTTGTGCTCGAATTTTGTTTTGGGAGTTTAACTATATTCGCAGAGATATTCTCCGTGAAATATTAAACTTCCCCTAGTACCTAGCTTACTCTAACCTTTCTAAGATCTTGACAAGATAGAAACTACCCATATATTCCGTAATTCTCAGCAGAGCCAGCTTCTGCTAAAATGCATTATCATGACAGAACTCCGTTAGATACAATCGTGAAATAGTTCATATCTTTCATTTATATTACATACAATTTTATCTTTTAGACGTCCAATCCTGAACCTTGAATTGCAGTGTACACTCTTTGAATGGTTGCCGATGTCGCCAAAATCAAAATTTTTTGCAAAAACAAATGCAAAAATATAAGTAATCTAACACAAAAAATGGTTATAAAAGTGAAATTATTGCAAAATTCTGCATATTCTACAAAAAAATGTATACAAAATTTTGTATTAATTGATCTTTTTGCAAAATTTTGTACGAAAGTCGCTCTTTTTTTGCTTTATTTTAATGTTTAACACAGAAATTCTCTGAAAGGTGGGTTGTTGAACACTTTCGAGAGTTAGTACAAGAAAAGCGTTGAAGAAAAAATGACATAAAGTTCAGTTAGTATTTCGATATAATTTATAGAGATGAATGACAGCAAAACAAAAGGTTGAACGAAAGTAGAAGCATTAAATTTTATTCAAATCTTAAATAAGATCTTAAATTATCTCATCATAGTCTTACTAAGATAATTTTAAGAAGTGCTTACCCTAGACGAAAATTTTTTAATAAATCTGACAAGAATCTGATAAGATTCTTATCGGCTTATAAGCTTTTTACTAAGGATCTTTTCAATCGTTCATACAGGCACAAACATTTCATGTTCATGTTATTTCGTTGTTTCGAGTTTTTGATGTAATGTTCAAACAGGAAGCAAAGTAAAACAAGGTCGCCAAAAGCGAAGTGGTAGGAAAGCTAACATGATGATATACGGGGATGTAGCTCAATTGGTAGAGCGCGCGCTTTGCATGCGCGAGGTACGGGGATCGAAACCCCGCATCTCCATTCTTTTCCTATGTATACATTATTTCTTCGATTAGATTTCTGTTTTATGATAAAGGATTACGAAAAAAATAACGGTAATTTTTCTTTTCCTCTTCTGTAATAAAGAACAACAAATACAGAGATTTTACTATTTTTTGTTGTTCTCTTCAGTTTCTAAGATTGTAAAATTGAGAATTACCAGGACCAGTTTCTTAATCACATTTTCTCCATTCATACATGCAACAGTCCGACGGATACCGTGTTTTATATGCATACACGATATGGCTATTGCGTTTTTGTTTTTCATTACGAAGAGATTTGACCATTTGTGTCAACTACATAATTGGAATCTGCTCAAAGAAGCATAATGACAATGAGAATAATAATACATGCATACAAAATTTGTACTATCTCTCCAGTGGCAGTGACAATGATTTTTCTGTTGGTTATTATAAGTCTGTGTTACTTTTTCTTTCAATTCATTATTTAGCAAGCTTTCGGGGCTTTTTTCAGACTACACACTATATAGACATTTGAAACAATAATATATTTTTCACAGAAGTAATATTTATGTTTTTACTCGATGAAAACACATTTTTTTTTACGTGAGATAGAAAATGAATGTGAATGTCGTCTTGTATTAGATTAACTGGAAGAGGAAGAAAAAAAAAGTCATCGCTCTACAGTATAGTTATGTCTATAGTAGACTAAATGAAAAAAGGATGAAAAAATTCATTTTTTTTTCGGATATTTTATGCAATGGAGAAACTATTAGTCTATCATTTGGTCTCGTGCAATATTACTATATCAAAAAATAAGAAAATGTTAAAAAAAAACTACTTTTTTTTTCAACTATAATTTCCTTGGATTAAATCATATGCTTTTTCATAGTTTGAATTACAGAAGTACTCTTTCGTTCTTCAACTTCTCTAACATTTGTCTAAGGTGTTTTTTCAAGGAGTTTTTTCGATAATGGATAGTTTCAAAGATCAAAATAGAAAATTTAGTAAAATAGAAGTAGATTAGAACTAATTTCAACAACACAGTCAGAGTTAGCATCTATATGGCTCAGCTTCGGTATGAAGTTAATATCGTCAAACTTTGACGAAAGTTTCATTATATGATTACTGGACTTCAAAAGTAACAAAAATTTTGTCGAAACTTTGTCAGTAGATGAAGAATATCAAGTTATGATGTGGATGAAAAAGTAATTAGAGCGTTCTGGAGGACAGGTAAAGAAATATTACACTTTTTAATTTTTGACTTTTAGTCGACGTTCGTTTGTTAAGGGTATTATTTCCTTTTGACGCTTTTCGTAGAATTACTATCAAAATTTAAACTAAAAAAGACTAAGCCTTCTCGTTTCCAGAACTAATTAAAAACTTAACTGAACATTTTTCCGTTTCTGTCGTAAGTCTCTAGCTATCAAGATTCTCGAACATAAGATTTTCATATAGTTCCATTACGCCTCCTTCATAACTTGATTCGATCGACCTCGAAGTTTTTTCATAAATACTAGACAACATTGTCCAAGTGTAGATCATTCTTTTTCGTTCTATCATCATTTCTTTTCGAGTTATAGAAATTTGAAGATTGAAAAATCTGGATTTTAAGATGGTTTTCAGTGTGTTTAGTGTGTTGCTATAACTGCGAAAGAAAGATGAATGAAAAAAAAATCCACACCTGCCGAACATTGTCTAATATTTATGATAAAATTTTGACGTTGATTGTAGTATAACCAGGTTAATGGTGTTTCGAACCAAAGACGTTGTACTACTACAAACGTCACTTTTTTTAAGGCTTCTAGCAAAATGAGCATAACTCTACAAACAATACTAAATGAACGAGAACAGGTTTTTGTGAAATTGAACAAATAGAGTTTTTTTAACGCAAAATTTTTAAAAATTTTATCTTTCCAACAGAAAGTTGTATAGAGCTGGAAGTTATCATATTTTATAGACGATACTTTATTCTATACAAAAATGATAATGTTTTTTAAAAAAAGATCGATGCGTCGTACCTTTAAATGATATCTCAATATATTCTGACAGTGTAGACAAAAGGTTCTAACGTGATAATACTGGTCAGTCTATATGCTGTTGTGCTCTCGAGATAATGTGACTGTGGTATGTATAGTGTGAATTCTAGTAGATCATAGTGGAGAGTTTTTTTAGTTGTGAAATTTCTTTCGTACCTGGTGTCGGTATTTGTTTTCGCTATCACAATTATTAATTGTCCTCTATCTTAACACTAGAACGCCCGTAGCGGTCATTTTGACCGTTTTTTGGTTTTTAGCCCTAATGAAACAAACTACATACAATTTACTTAAAAATAAATGATGTCATAACTTTTAATTTGTCCCACAAAAACCAGTTTTTGCAGAATTTTTAATTCATTTTTGAGTTCAGAACCGCTTTTAATTATAAAATTAAAAATGAAAACAGTAATGGTCAAAATGACCGCTTTGGGCGTTCTACACTCTAAAAAAAGAAGGTATTCCAAAAAACCCTAAAAAGTATTCTCCATTTGAGAAAAACCAAAAAAAAGGTATAACCACTCGTGAAAAACGTTTAAAGGATTTAACCATTTGAAACATATCATAACTGTTTAAAAGTTTCTTCTTCTTATCAAAAAACTAATTTTCGTTTTCTAAAATACGGCTAAACTATGTTCTGAAAAAGGGTTGAGGTTTCTTTATGTCACAAAAAAACCTTTCAGGTATTTTTTAAAATACCAAATCAATTCAGGGTTTTATAAACCACGGCTTTTTCATATTCTAAAAATGCCAAAGGGTTTTTCTGATAAAAGCAAAAAACGTTTAAACAGTTATGATATGTTTCAAATGGTTATACCATTTTTCGTATTTTATAATACCTTTATTTTTTAGAGAGTAGGTCATGAAAATTTCCGGGCATTCTAGTGTTAATATGAAAAAGTCGCTCAGAGACTCTATTGGCACTTATTATTCCCTCTTCTTTATTATAGTTAAGTAAAAAATGATAGTATAGATGATACTTAATTGGGTTTTAATGCATAGAACTTTCCTTTTAGATGTTTTTTAATTAGTGCTTTTTTTAGACATCTATTCTGTTTTGAAGAACAGTAGATAAAAAAAATGAACACATCACAGAGTCCTCCGTCAGAGCAGAATGATACTCTGCTCAAGAAGAATGAGCTTATTAATCAACCACGAAATTATATGATACCAAAACGATATATATTAACTATATTAGCTTTTTTTGGATTTTTTAATGCTTATTTGATACGAGCAAATTTGAGTATTGCTATTGTAAAAATGATAGAACCATATAAAAACAGTTCATTGATATCTGTACAGGTGAGAAACAAGAGTTTTTTGGTTTGTCCATATTTTTAATGATATTTTTTTTTCAGACTGGATATGATTGGAATACAAAAATTCAAGGATACGTCTTAAGTTCGTTTTTCTACGGTTATATTATTACCCAAATACCTGCTGGTAAGTGAGTGATACTAACAAAATAAAGTTCAATTAATAAACATTTTATTATAAATTATAGGATGGATAGCAACGCGAATTGGAGGAAAACACCTATTTGGATTCGGCATTGGTTTAAGTGGATTGTTAACGTTGTTTACATCTTTTTTCGCCTATATGGGACCGAGCGCATTGTTTTTCCTGCGCATATTGGAAGGTCTTTGTCAAGTGAGATTTTATGCTTACTCGAAGTTCTGGCACGATTTTTATTCATTTTAATGATTAGGGAGTTGTCTATCCATCACTTCATTCTATTTGGTCAAAATGGGCTCCACCGTCTGAAAAAACGAAAATGACGACATTCGCATTTGCAGGCGGCTATATTGGAACTCTGGCTGCAATGTGTTTTGGAGGTTGGTTTTTTAGAGTGTTGCTACCACTAACCATGTATATCCAATTTTCATTTTTGTTCAAAGGACTTGTTGCAACACATTTATCTTGGGAATGGATCTTTTACATTTCTGGTATGCATATAAAATAAGTGAATTAAAACAATATTAATATATTTTTTCTTTTGTAGGTGCCATTGCCGTGATTTGGACTGGACTATGGTTCTTTTTTATAGTAGAATCTCCGGAACAACATCAAACAATTTCGTCAAGTGAATTGTCTTATATTGAATCAAACTTGTTTAAACCACCGACAAAGGTTGGTAAATATACGAGATAAACTATAATATATTCAATGATTTGTTTTGTTTCAGCATTACATCATCCCATGGAAACAAATCTTGAAATCGTCACCAACATGGGCCATTGTTATTGCCCATTTTGCTCAGAATTGGGGTTTTTACACAATGCTCACCGAATTACCAACATTTTTGAAACAATGCCTTAAGTTTCAGCTAGATGAGGTGTGGTTACTCATAGCTTAAAATTTTTTGTGTACATGAACTTGGATAACTAGTACGGGTTGTTTAGACTGGATTTATATCATCGTTACCATACTTATTGATGGCTATTACTCTCTATGGTTCTGGTGTTTTCTCTGACTCATTGATAAATCGATTTTCAACAACAATTGTTCGTAAAATGTTTATTGTAATTGGTATTGACCATCTATTAATATAATATTTATGTTTTTATGTCTAATCCATGTATTTATCTGATTTAGCATTGAGCGTACAGGCAGTTGCGATGATAATCATTATCTTTCTTCACAACCGATACGCAATTGCATCAGTATTAGTTATTTCAGTTGGGTTTGGAGGTCTGGCTTGGAGTGGCTTTGGAGTTAATCATCTGGATATCGGTGCGCATTATGCGCCTATCTTAATGGGATTGTCAAATACAATCGGTAGTATGCCTGGTTTCATTTCACCAATACTCACCGGTTATCTTGTACAAACTCACGTAAGTTGACATGTTCCCTTTCCAGTCTAATACCTATTGTCATATATTTGATTAACTTCGTTAGGTAAAAAGTGAATGGAATGTTATATTTGCGATTTGTGTCATTATATACATTATAGGCGCAGTGTGCTACTTCTTCTTTGGTTCGGGTAGGTTGTTTTAAGTGGTTTCACCATACAGTCTGCATTAACTATATTTCGATTAGGCGAATTACAATCGTGGGCAGTTGCAGACGAAGAATATCAATATGTGTTCGATACACTATCACGAGATACAAGTCAAGAATTCTCTCACGCCAAAATCGATGAGTTGACAAATAAATTAAAAAAAGAAATAATTGACACTGATCCAGTACCGACACCGGAGCAATGAACAAGAGATCTGCTAATAATAAGTTTTTTTTGTTACAGTCTATTCTTATCTGAAAATATCTGTCTAGTCATTTCATCTTATATGTTGACGAAAATGTTGACTTTTAAAAATGTTTTTTGTAGTTTCACGTTATTGTTGTTGTTATTTTATAATATTTATTCAGATCAGTATTATTTTTATGAAATTGTTGTTTCGTTGTTCTCATATTGTTGTTGTAATATTTATATAATTGTTAGAGTGAAAACATAATATGGTATGAATTTAATGTATAAAGTTCTCATAAATCAAAATAAAATACGTAATATATCTAGTTTGACTTACCGATTCGGTAGAGCTACAAAAAAGTACTACGCTTTGAAAGCACTTTATTAAACAGCAAAAGGCATATAGTAATATAAAATATTGATTAATGGTTTTATCAGTCTCTTCGAGAATATTATATGGAAAACGCAGACAGTGGCACAACACAATATAATTTGACTATACTAATTTCACTGTATGGATGTTTTAGAATCACATAAGTTTACTAATGTATAAACTAGTGTCTTTTTATCCGGAGTACAAAGAATAAGGGTAATGCATTCTTGTCATGTATTGTAGCGCACTCATAAATGTACAACCATATTTGCTCGTATTTCAGCCTATAAAACATTGATTGTTATGTTGTTGTTGGTAGGGGTGGATGGATGGATGGGTTTTATTTAAAGAACCCAAACAAAAGAAAGAGACTTCGGCCATGTCTGCACGTCTAAGGCGAGCTGTTTAGCCCAATCAAACACTCGATAGTTCGTTTAGATCGTTTAGTGTAAACAAGGCCAAGGATAGTAAATAAGGTTCAAATTTACTTGTACGGCAGTTCGTTATTACTACTGAAATGGATATTTGTCCTCGTTTAATTAACTATGATCTACATTCACAGGACACATTTACAATTTTTAGTAGCATTGGGAGGCTTTGTCGTATCATGCTTTGTGATAAAGGTTTTAGTGAAAATATTAACTCGTTTTTATTTCTTCATCTCTCATTTAGACATGGCACTTCGACATTTGTTCGAAAAATTGCCTATACCAAGTTTACGCTTGTATACATCTATTAGTTCTTTATTGTTAATTGGAAATCTTATTTACATAAACCAGTTGATACAATTCAGTGATGATAGTGGACATACTCTCAAGTCTGAATATAACACTATCAATACAACAAATTTTGAAACAGTGTCATCTGTCAATATATCTGAGACACTAAACGCTGTCAGTGGTACGATAGTGAAAAAAAATGAATCGATATCAGCTGAGTCTTTAGCTACAAACGATCCGTTATCGCTTACTTATATTCAAACGTTATTTTCAATTATGATCTCCGAGCCATTGTCATTGTTGGTAAATTATCTCAAATCAAACGTAGCGCAACAACTGCTTATTTCTATTTTCTTTTCTTCTTTTAATAGATTTTGGTTAATGCAGCTTATTGTGCTCTAACATTAGTGGGTAAAAGTATTCAACTTGTTGTTTTTGGCACTTTACGTCCAATAGAAGTGCAGGTAAGATACAAATGTTATTATTCGATATTTATATGCTTATTTCTTATTCTGTTTTAGCGTATCAAAGACAAATTTTGGAATTATGCGTTTTACAAATTTATTTTTTTGTTTGGTGTTCTAAATGTTGAAGATTTGAACGATATTGTTTTATGGTTATTATGGTTTTCGTTACTGGGATTTTTGATCGTATTTTGTCAACTCTGCAAGGATCGTTTTGAACTGGTATGTATCTGAAAATGTTTTATTGTCTCATGAAGTAAAGTTTACATTACCACTAAAGAAACGTTCAACTTAGTAAATATAAAGTGGACTTTGAGAAATCATCTAACGATTTTGTGTTGAAAAAATAAATATTTGTTTGTTACATTTTTCAGTTATCTGTTTCGACGTCTGTTCGTTCATGGGAACTAATTAAAATAATTGGTTTATTAAACTTTGTGTTTTGTTGTTGTATGTCATTATTTGGCTTATGCCTATTTGGTTTAAATATCGGTGGTTTGTCTGTATTCTTCTTTATGTTAGCCGAGACTGTTTTATTATCATTAGATACTGTATACGTATTAGCCAAATACTGTATGCATCTTTACACGTTACAACAACATCAACAACAAATAGCTTCATCATCTACAGCTATTGATAACAGCAATAACAATGAAACTCGTTTATTAATAGCATATTATTGTGAATTTATCTTTGACGTATTAACACTTACTATCGATATATGTCATCATTTACAAATGTTACTTCATTGCAATATATTTTTGAGTATGGCTTCGTTGGTCGTTTGTATGCAATTAAAACCATTAATTGATGAGCTAATGCAACGTATGAAACGACACAATTTATATCGATTAGCCATGTCCAAAATGGAACAAAAATATCCGCTTTTAACAAAATATGAGTTGGAAGAAAAATTTAAAAAAAATCGCAATTATTCCCCGGATGAAGTCTGTTCTATTTGTTGGGAACGATTTGAAAAGGCACGATGTTTACCATGTAAGTATTTTACTTTATTCTAAATATAGCTAATATGCAAAAGCTTTACCGATGGTACTATATTTCTCGATGTATAAGTTGTGAGAAGGTATACAAGGTAGTTCTCTGATTGCACACCTTTTTTTGGTACTTGAGCAACTATAAAAAAAATTGTATCAAATCGATCAGCGATTTGTTGCATATTCTTAGAGCGGTTATTCAACTGTTCGAGTTTTCAAATATCATTTATGTATAACATTTTCATTGTGCTTTTTAGGTGGACATTTATTTCATCAAAATTGTCTACGTAGTTGGTTAGAACAAGATCCGTCTTGCCCTGTATGTCGGCTACCACTTCATGATGAAACTAGTCCGTCAGCTCCAACTACTGCCAATGTTCAACCACAACCAGCAGCTAGTTTTAATTTATTTTGGCCATCGTTTACGGTTGGAAATAATGCAAGAACTAGTCAACAACAGCAGCCACAAGGCGCAGTTGGCAATGCAGTACCACGTCAACGTAATCATTTATTTCGTTTTGATGGTTCACGATATGCTTCATGGTTACCCAGTTTTAGCGTTGAAGTTACTCATACACACAATTTTCCATTTCGATTTGGTCGTCAAAGATTATCGACTACACAACTAAATACAATGGTACAACATGTTCGACAAATTTTTCCCCAGATACCAAACAATATTATTTTAAATGATTTACAACGTACACAATCAATTGATTCGACAATTAATAATATTATGGATAGACGTATTAGAGATTTAAATATATTAGAGCAACAGGCAGACGCAACAGGAAATCATTTGGATTCATCAGACACTGACTCGTATGGATCTTCCTCATCATCAAATTCTTCACCTTCAAGTTCAGACGTAGAAGATTCTGATATAAGACAAACAACGTATGTAGAATACAGTTCAGCTTTTTTCACCGAATAATCGGTATTTATTCTATCTTGTAGAAATATCAATAATTCAACATTGTCTGAATTACAAATTGATAATATGATGAATGATCAAGAATTATATTCTTGGCCACTTGATCATCGTAAGCCATTTTCGGATCGTAAACGACAATTAATCACTCATATGAGACGGTAAGTATAATGTACTTTCGCTTATATGGCATTCAATATTTTAGATATTTTCTTTCCATTTCAGATGTTACATTGAACGTGAACGTAGCCAACTTCAAACAAAATCAGATTTATTATCATCACCATAACGAAATTTTTTAGAATAATAAAAAATCAAAATGCTCCGATTTTTCCTATCTTTTTCTTTGTATACTATAGGCGATATTTTTTTATGTATATAAATGTTGTTTTCACTAAGGAAACAGTAGAAATTTTTATTGAGAAAATAGAAATTGTGCATCATTGTTGTTTATTAGTTTTTTTTGAACGGCCTTTCAGTTTTTATTATTTATCAAAATGTTAGTCTTTTAAATGCGTTAGATTTTATCAATAATGAAAAAGTATTTCAAGAGAGATCACGAATGTGAAAGTTCAAATATTGGAGGATGAAAAAATTTCCCATAGTGATAGTATGAAATTTTTGTTGAAGAATTGCAGTGATCAAGAAATAAAAGCTTTCGAAGACTATCAACGATGAGAAAACTTTTTTCGATAAATAAGCTCAGTACCACCTCCAAAAGAATCTCTCTGAAAGAGAGAGAGGGAGAGAGAGAGAGAGAGAGAAATATCCAACCATGATTAAATTTTTTTTCTATTGTTTATTTTGCATCATTCTGTCGTTCTGTTTCGTGTTGATAATAATTCTCATATGCTCTATGGTTTGTCCATTTGCGAATATAGTACAATAAATATAACTTTTTGCCTCTCATACTTTTAATTTACTATTAGAATGGAAATCTGTTTTTTCTTCGTAGAGAAACTAAAATGAACAAATCATGAATATCTTTTTTCACTCCATTTTAGACTTTTCACAATAGACATGCGTCGAGGTGTAGGAATAACTGGAATTAACCAACAACTATTACAAAAGGTATAATAATTTAGTGTTGGTTTGTGAATAAAATTTTCTATTATTATATTTTAGGCAAAATTTAGTGAAAAAGGTTCTGAACTTGCTCATGATCATTTAGAAAAAGTAATTATCTCTTACTAGTATAATATTTATTACATAATGACCCTTTGATTTCTTAGTTGTCAAAACAATTTGAAATATTTCGTGACAATTTGGAAAAATTTGCTGAAAAACATAAAAATGAAATTAAAAAAGATGTGGCGTTTCGTCGACAATTTCAAGACATGTGTGCGACAGTCGGTGTAGATCCATTAGCATGTAAGTTCATAACGCTATACTTTCGAATTAGAATAAATACACGAAGCTATGTAATAATCTACGCATAAATGTTAATGTCAAATATTACTATTTTTCATCCACACTGATCATAATGATACAATTTTCAGATGATGTGTTTCTACGTGGTCAGTGGCGTAGCTGTTAGAATTAAGAAGACAAAACATATTGAGATATGTTTCTCGCTGTACGTAGCAAACTGTATTCATTGAAATCTAGTTCATCGAATCCTCAATAATTGTTAGATGTACGAGAAATTAAATTAAATTTATTGTTTTATTTTTCAAGTTGTTTTATCTTCAAATTTTAGCAAGTAAAGGCTTCTGGTCTCAAGTACTTGGTGTTGGCGATTTTTATTACGAATTAGCAGTGCAAATTGTTGAAGTTTGTGTTGCTACAACTCAACAGAATGGTGGTATTATATCGTTAGATGAGTTATTATTACGTGTAAGAAAAGCACGTGGAAAATCTAAGACAGCTCAAGACGTCTCACAAGATGATATATTACGTGCAATAAAAAAATTACGTTCACTTGGTGATGGATTTTCGACCATTGAACCAACGACAGCTAATGGTCGTATTCTAATTCAATCCGTGCCTGGTGAATTAAGTATGGATCATACAACAATTATCAGTAGTTTACAAACAAAAGCTAATTTTACTAGTGAACAACTGAAGGAGCAACTCAAATGGAATGATGACAGAATTAAATCAGCGCTCGATTTTATGATTAAAGAAGGTTTATTATGGGTTGATACAAACGGGAAACAGACGGAATACTGGTTTCCAGGTTTATTTACAGCACAAAGAGTACAGGCCGGAGAGAGCGTTTAATTGTATTAATTATTCTTCGATCATTTATTTTTACTTTTGTAAATTGTTTTTTGTTCTTTTTTTGAATAATGAGGATTGCATGAAATTTTGTTTTTCATTATGTACAATTTTTAGTAGGACACAATACTTGCAACAACGCCTGATATCTCGGGGAAATGGATATCTAGAAACGAGTCAGAACACTATTGTACTTCACGAGTTATTGATTAGAAAAAACCGCAGGATATTATATATTAGTACGTATGAGGGAGCAGTATGAAATTGAACCACAGAAGAACATTATATATTTCGAAAGCTATGAATTGTTGAAGGCATTGGAGACATGTCGATTGTAATGTTTTATCTTAAGATCCTATATATCGGTTTTTTTCTACTAATGCCTAGTTTATCGGATTGGCATCGTGCGTACACTATTTTGTCGTAAAAAACTGATTATCCTGTAGAATTTATGAATTTTTCGCATAATATCTCTTTTTCTAGAATATCGGGTATCTCTCAGTACTCGAGGCCTATAAGAATCTCTTTTGGTAATTATTACATTTATATAGATTTTTTTTCCTCTCGTTTATTTATCATCTTTTCTTGTTATTCTGAAAGGAATGAAATAAGACGTCTATTTAATGTTAAGAATATCTGAGTGTGTCATCTATTTCTATACAGAGATGACAGGTATATTTGTTAACAAGTGAAAACTTATTTCGTTGGTAAATAATTTTATACTCTTTCCACATTATCTTCTTCAACCGTCTTGAGTGATTTTTACCATGAAAACTGCTAGATACGATACGATCTTTGTAGAAAAATCATTACCAATGTTGTTGTTTTTTTCAGATGGCTGATAGTCGTTTTCATATTTGGGCCAAAGCTGAACCATTTACTTTTGGTGCTCTCAATTCGCCACCACCACCGGAACTTTCTCCATCGGTAAGTAAATAACGAGATTTAGTCTGATTACCATGGCTATTTGTTTTAATTGTTGATTTTTTTTAAAGAGTTTGAAAGGAATAGTGAAATATATGAAAAAAAATGAAAAATGTGGCTATCCAAAAATGAAGTATGTTTACATTCTATTTATTATCTTTCAAATATATTCTGTTCTGATCTAATTTTGAAAACTTTATTAGGTGATGCTTTATTTTCATTTGTTTAAGTTACATTTTGTGGCGTCATATAGCGTGTCAAAAATTACATATGACTGAAGAACTAGCGTGGATGTATGTTTAATATATTAAACATTTTTTTATTAATATAAAGTATTATTTTTCTTACTATTAGGTATTTTGAATCGTATGGTTTATTAACAAACGCTGGAAACGCTAAACGTACACAATTAGATATTCAAATGGCAAAGGCAACGGCATCAACAGAAATCGGTATTAAAAATTACTAATTAGTCTCTCAGCTATTTTCATGTTATTTATGTATTTTCTGTATTAGAAAGACTAAAGGATTCAAGAAAAGTAGACAGTTTAGCATTTGTTCTGTTATTATTTTTACAATCATTTCATCATATCGATTTAAAATCAACATTATCACGTGATGAGTATGTATTGGTGCACCTATAATATTGAAAGTACTTACTTATAGAATATGTACTTTAGGTGGCCTAATCGTAAACGAAGTTCAGACATCGATGCCAGAAAAAATCGAGTATGTTTGTTTACAACATAACATATATTATTTTAGATATACAACATTGAATATTTTCAGATTTATGATGAACAAACACATCAATTATTTATTCAAGCTCATTTAGACGATATGTTGAATATCATTGCTGATACTGGTAAAAAGATCATTAGTAAAATAAATAAATTATTGATTACATCATTTTTTTTAATGCTTTTTTATATAGAACAACATAATGAAATAGCTCAAGCAACCTTGAGTATTGAAGCTATTGCAGCACTCAGCTTCATATTTGAATGTTCATTGAATAATAGCCATACAAAAGTGTATTCATTACAAACATTACTCAATTATAGATTTATTCAAGATGAAGTTGGAATGTCGATTGTAGGGGTAAGATGCAATTTTCATAGCATATATCAAATGAATCACTATTAGCTAACATAATTGTAACATATAACAAAATTAATTTAAATATAATCAAAACAAATGAGATTTAATACTTTTAGAGTCAAACTGTTGTACCATTCAAAGGATTATCAAATTTAATACGTCGTTCACTTATATCGAATCCATTTCAAGTCGGACAAACAATGAAATTGGGCACATTATTACCATTACCATTTAATAGTAAGTAACAATTAAGTTATCTTGTTAATATATATAACGATATCGATAACTGTTAAGATCCAACTCATGAACAACGGTCTGGTAGAGTATTATGTAATTCAAATTTTGCTGATGAACAGTAAGTATGATTGTTAATACGTATAAACTGTTAAATATTTTTTTCTATTTATTTTGGTAGACATCGTTTCGTTCTAATGACAATGATTAATCGATCGTTAAATGAACAGGTGAGATAAAAAAAAATTGAATTATCCATTTCAAACTTGTTTTATTTTTATTTTAGCATTTGCCAAACGTATGGATGGCTGAATTTCGTATTCATCGTTGTAGTTATTCTTATATTTATATTCATGCTCCACTTCGGTAATAATTCTTAACCAAAGTAGATGATAAATTAAAATTGTATGCTTTTATTTTTAGATGTGTTGAAGTTCGAAAATGTCATAATGTAACAATTGTATTTGGTTCCATAGAAACAACATTAAAAATAAGTGATTGTGAAAATGTATCAATATCAGCTGTTTGTAGAAGACTTGTTATTAGGTATCAGAAAAAATAAACATAATTTGTTTATTCAATTTTTATATACATTTAGTTTATTTTAGTCAATGTCGTTCATCATCATTTTATATTCTTACACCAACTCGTCCATTGATACAGTTAAATTGTTCAAATTTATTATTTGCTCCTTACAATACATCCTATAATAAATTACCAGAACATATGGAAAAAACTGGACTATGTAAAGATTTAAATTTATGGAATAAACCACTTATTACACATCCGGCAGGTATGTTCAACAATGAATATGATTCGCTTGTAATCGAAGGTTTATTAATATTCTAAAAAAGATGAGAAATCAATAATATAGTACAATAGATTTAAATATTCTGATTTCTATCATATTGTTTAGGATATCGTTGTGATTCACAATCTGGTGAAAAAAGTTTGATTCTCGATGACTGTTGGTCATTGATGAATCCTGAAGATTTTTATCCAATAAGTACAATACGTTCAGAAGATCAACAAAAAGTAACTAATTACTAAAAATATTTAGACTATTTAATTAATTTTTAAAATTTTTCTTTTCTATTAAGGATTGTTTTATTCCATTACCTGTTGAGTATCAGAATGCTCTAGATAAGCGTCAAAAATCAATATCATTATTAGCCAATGAAATAACAGATGCACAATTAGATCAAGAACAACGTCAACGTTTTCAACGTTTTGTTGTTACACATTTTGAATCTTGGTTAGAAGCAACGGGAAATAAAAAAATACTTGATCATTTATCTAGTTTAGTACTCAATTGAATAGACATTTTATTTATTCTTTATGTTTAAATGTGTCACTTGTTGTTACTGTTGATATTAAGCATTTCAAACTAACCATTCCAAAATATTAAAGTATCAACGATCTATACAAATTTCTCTGCCATTGTTTGTTGTTATTTTTATTCATTATATATTTTCTCATAGACCAAATGTGATATTTTAACGCTCTTTCTCATTTTCTCTCTTACTTTGATTAACTTAACCTCTACATGTGATGTTAATGTAAATAAATATTGTTTTCTTTTTTTTCTTGTAATGATCTTTGTAGAGTTAAGCTACTATTATTGTGCTCGAATCAAATTAGTACATTAATTAAACTCATATTTTATTTGTATCATCTTTTGTAATTGTATATTTGCTATTTTTCTTAAAAAACACAAAATGTTTTTCATGTAAAAGTAGATCAACTTAAATTGGTATTCTTTACTTGTATTCTCATTCTAGTAAAAAATAGATGATGACTATTTGAAGTTTCATTATTCATAGACGTTTTCTTTTTTTTCTTCTTCTCTAAATGAAGTTTAAAATTCTTTATTAATCTTCTAGAAAACAACATCACTTTTTTTTTTTTGTTTGTCTACATAAAGGGCACAGATAAAACATTAAAATGTGAAAAACAAATGACAATTGTAGTTATATGGAGAAAAAATAATGACGGACATAGAAATGATAAAAACAAAACTGATTGATATAGAAAGGAATCTAGACAAATCACCGGTGTAGAAAATGCTATGAAAAATAATGAACAAAAATATTCTTGTTTTTTTTTTTTGTTTTTTTTTTGTTTTAATATTTAGCTCTCTTTTTTTTCTGTGTTTGTTAAGAATAATATGTTAGTACATTGCTTTGATTTCCGCGTAAGAATAATAATGGTGGCAAATCGTGACTAATACTTTCTAACCATGACATATAGAGACCACAAGAAATTGAATGTTTTCGTGGAATAGGTAGAGTTCTAAGAAGAAAAAGAATTGAAAAGTTGTGCAAAATATACTTTAACTTTTGTTATATATATATATATACTTACACAATAATTAATGATGATGCTGAACTATACTCGAGTAACATTTCATGTAGACGTAATCCACGTTTTATTTTATCTTTATTTGCTTCGAGTTCTAATGCACTTATTTTCCATTGTGATGTTTCTTTTGTTTCATTATTGTCACTATTATCTGCATTTAAATCCCAGGATTGTATTAGTTTATTAAATTTTTGAATTTCATATTCATTTGGTTGTTTATTTAAACCATCTAATACATGTAAATCATTATAGTTTATACGAAATTTTGATAGAAGAGATGCCATTGCTAAATGTTGTTGTTCAGCTGCTTGTTTTTCACCAAATACACAAGAAAATATTCGTAATTGACATTCTTTCCAACGTTTTCGACGACGTAATAAATAAGGAATCAATAGTGTTAAGCCTAAAGAAAAATATTTTCGTTATATCTAATTTAATTGTAAGATAGATATTAACCTCCATCGTCAGACAACCACCAAACATCGATAATAGCTGAGGATATTTGTCTTGGACGAAATATATTCATACTCTGTAAAGCACCTTGTTATTTTCAAAAGAAGAAAAAAAATAATAATTTAATTAGATGAAATTTTTTTCTTTATACACAAATATAACTTACCTTTATTAATAATTGTATTTTTAATCATCATAACATCTGTTGAACGAGCTCTGCGTATCGCATTATTAGTTCCATTAGCATTAGTAGCTTTTGTTTTATTTATTGATATCGAAAGAAAATCGACATCTTCATCATCTTCATCAACAGCATATATATCCTCAGTAAATTCATCTGTCGTTAAAGAAAAATCAGTTATTAAAATATTAACTTCGATGAACATTCATGTACAATATACCATACCATCTGATCTAGTAAAAAAATCAGAAAAATCGAGTCCACTTTTAAGTCTTAATATACCAATTCCAAGATTTAAGTCTAATGCATCGTGTATTATATTAAAATAATCGTTCACCAAATGACCTGGCTGGGTGAGCCAATCATTTTTGAAACCCATAAATACCAGGTTTGGACGCATTTTACCAATGCCGATACACTAAAAACAATAAAAATAACTGGAGATAAATTATAAAAATGCACATATATATATATATATATATATATATATAGACAAAAATAACCTGTAACAATGCTTGAGCTCCTTGCCGCACTGTTCGTGAGACAACTGTCGAATAGAATGCTTTAGAATTTCGTTTTTTTAACCAATTTGCAGCATCATCTTTTTTTTCACATAGTTTAATGTTTACTGATGGATCATCCTAATAAAGCATAGGTTAAATATTGATAAAAAAACAACTTCTAAACAAATAGTAAATACTTTACCAAAATAACATGGCCACATATCATTAAACTGTGTCCATGTGTCAAAAGTGAAACTAAATCGATGATAGCAGGACGACAAATAGGATTGCCGCTTAATACTAGAGCTTGTGGACGAAAATTTTTTACATGCTCCTCAACAGTACCTAATTTTAATGTTGCATTCAAAGCACGCCGATACGTATGAGCTTGAACTGATGAACCCCAATTAATTTCTAAAAAAATGAAAATTTTTCTTATTATAAGGACTAGTTATTCTAATAGTATTTACCGGGCTTCATTGTTCGAACATAAAGATAAATACCACTAGTAACAACAAATGTAATTAGGGCTGCACTCCAATTAATGATAAACATAACAAAAATACAAAGTAGTGCACCCAATAGAGAAATCCATTTATTATAGAAACCAAATGCTGGTCTCCAACCAGAGGATTTAGCTAGTGAAGCATCAAAACAGGAATAATTCACTAGCGCATAGGTCATTAAGAAAAAGTTTGATATGATAGGAGCAATCACATTTAATTCACCTTGCAAAATAAAAAAATACAAGATTACGTTGTTTGATATGTGAGATATTATTTTGATATTCAAATTACCTATAGCAGTAAATGAAACAGCAATAAAATAAGTGAGAAAATAAGCTCGATGTGGTTCATCTGACTGTCCGTTTCCAACAGCAAAATATTTTAAACAGGGAAATATCATGTCTCGACAAACAGCTTGAAATACTTTTGGAGCACCCTAAAAGAAATCAAATTAAAATTGAAATTTTTTATTTTTCTAAAGTTTATGAATAGTCACTGACCACTAGACTAGCTAAAAAAAATAAATAAACAAAAACAAATTACATTGATATGAAAAATGATTCAAGTAATTTTCTCAACGTTAAACTGTATCTTACCTAATGCGCTAGACAGAGTAGCGGCGAAAATACCTGCGGTAATGATGGGACCAAATGCCGATATAGTGCGCATGGTCTAAAAACAAATAAGATTTTAATCTAATAAAAGTATGATCTGACACATTTTGTACCTGATAATTGTAATTTAGACCCGATTTACAATTGACATTAGTTGGAACTAATGTACAATTAATTCTTTGATTTAGAACTAAAACTGAGTCGACTAAAATTGAAAATATTTTTAATTTTGTCAGATAATTGTAAAAAGAATTTCTTATTTCATACGCAAAACTTCACGTTTTGTTGTAATACCACAAATAATACAGAAACCAAGATAAACAAAACTTGTTATAATAATAGCTATTATCGTTCCTAATGGAATGGCTTTGGATGGATTCTACATAAAAAACGGACAATTTTATGTGTTGTACAGATACATTATTGAATTTCAACATACTTTCAAGTTTCCACTTATATTTGCACCCGCTAAAATGCCGGTGACACTTGGAAAAAAAACACCAAAAACATGTTGGAACGATTCACCATCTTTAAATTTTGGTCCCCAATTGTCTTTTGTCAATTTCCAACTGTATCCTTCGAAACCATGTCGTCTTTTTGTCTGTGAAATTGGCATCCATGTTCCAATTAAAAAATTTAATATAGATGTTGATAGTGTTATTAACAGACCAATTTGAACCGTTGTTTCCCATTTAAGACCAATTAGTGCAATAAATAAAATCAACGTCATTGTGAGTACTCCTTAAATATACTGAAAATATTATTAAAAATATCTTAACAAAATTAATCAAGCAAGTATTACCTATTATTCTCACATCATTTGTCGGTCCAAGCATTTGGATACCTCGTTCCTGCAATTAATTTGATTAGATAGAATATAAATGAAAAAACAGTAGATCGATATTTGTTTTTAATACCATTAAAAGATCTCGAACAGTTTCAGCAAATCCAATCGTATACATAGACGCAGCAACGGCGTTTGCAAATGAAAATACAAGTCCGATAGCACCTCCAAATTCTGAAATTAGGATTGTTTTATTGTTAACTATCTTCATTCGATAAGAATGTAATGAGAGATATACCTGGACCGAGACTACGTGAAATTAAATAGTACGTGCCACCTAAAATCAAACAATTAAATCTTACTCTCTCTTTACATTCCATAAAGAATTAAACACCTACCACCCTTGACTTCGCCATTTGTGCAGATTGCACTCATTGATAATGCAGTGATTATTGTTACTAATGTGGATACAATGACAATAACACTGGCTAAAATTAAACCCGCTTGACCCGTAACCCAGGATAAACGCAGAAAGAGCATGACACCAAATATATTTAGAATACATCGAATCAAAACACCTTTTATCCATCCAAATTTAATAACATTTGTTTGTTTTGTTGGTGTTACGGTTGTTGGGGGTAATTCAACGTTTAAATCAAATGTTGATGTTAGTTTTGTGTTATTAGCCTACAATTCAAAAAATACGTGTCAATTATCAGTTTATACTCTTTCCTGTTGTCAATACTGAGAAAAACTTCAGATTCATAACGAGAGACGCAAAAATAATGACACATTTTTGTTCTCTTGTTTTCGGGCACTTAGCTGAGATTCTAAAACTCCATTCTAGACTCATTCGATCGAGAATTTTCTGCTCATTACCTTGTTTCATTACATATTACTTCATTATCTAGAAAAAACTCGGTTTTAGATTTCCGGGGGACAGTTTTTGGTGAAAAAATTTTAAAATATTGATTTTTTAAAAATGCGCAAAAATGAGGAAATTTTTGAATAATAAGTAAAATTTTCTTGTTTGGTCATCTTTTAAAATTCCAGAACTAGTTTTTTTCTTATTTTGCATTCAAAACTGAGTCTGGCAAGCTAGTTTTGGAAATTTTAGAAGCTAAAATGGACTCAGAAACTGCGAAACACGAGCAGAATGGTAAAGGCCGAAAATTTCTCACCCCCTATGATATTGTTGGGGTACACCTAGTTTACTATCATGAGCTGTGGTGAGATTGTTGGGATCTTTTGAAATAAACTGAGGTTTCTAGAAAACTAAAACATGAAATTTTTCAATTGGATTTGGGATTTTCAAGTCAACCATTTCATAGAGCATATTAAGTTACACATGTCAAGCTATTTTTATAACTATTTGATTACTTTTAATTGAGTTCTAAATTTTTTAAAGATTAGAGTATTTACACACGTGCGTATATGTATACTTTTAATCAATACTTGAACTAAAAGTTTCTGATTCCATCAAAACTAATCGAATAGTTCTAAAAATAGCTTGATACGTGTAACTTTTGAGTTTCCCGTACCCTACGAGGGAACATTCTTAAGTGCTCCCTCGCTTTTTCAATGAAACCTAGTGGATTATAGGTTATCGATGATGCTGATTCCGAATATGAATATGAGAGCTGCTTTTAGGGCTTCGAAGGCCCGGTTTTCTTGAAAACCAGTCCAGAAATTCTGCAAAACGACCAGAGCTTTTCTTAATGATCCATGCTTGTAACCTGCACATTTCTGATTAAGATGAAGCCTCTCCAAACTCTACATGATCTTTCTTTGCAAAGTTATAGAATTTACAAGAAAAGCCCTAAATTAATTTCTTCTTATTTCTGAAGCTTTGAGTTGACAATGATTATTTAGGGCTTTTCTTGTAAATTCTATAACTTTGCAAAGAAAGGTCATGTAGAGTTTGGGGATGTCTCATTTTAATCAGAAATGTGCGGGCTACAAGCATGGCGCATTAAAAAAAGCTCTGGTTGTTTTGCAGAGTTTCTGAAAAACTGGTTTTCAAGAAAACCGGGCCTTCGAAGCCCTAAGAGCAGCTTTCATACTCATAATCGGAATCAGCATCATCGATAACCTATAATCCACTAGGTTTCGTTGAAAAAGCAAAGGGGCATTTAAGAACGTTCCCTCGTTAGTATTTATTCTAACATTCAGTCACTAACAATAGATGGTCCTAAGATGATGAGATTATTTATGCACTTCTTTTGGTCTGTATGCTATATGGTTCCAAGACTTCGTTCTGACATCAGAACATAGAACATTTTCTGTTCTGCACAACCCTCTATACCGCACACTTACACCCCATCGCTTGGGTACTCCTTTACTTGCCTTTTTCAAAACCTCACGCCAGAAAGTGATAATGAAATTGCGTACTAAACTTTTTATAATTTGAACGACCATACGAAAAAGCAACGTAGTCTGGATGATAAACCTGAATTTCCTAAATATTTTAATAGCACTCTCTTTTCTCAGTTATCATATTATTTCTCGAAAAATCACATAAAAGCCGAAAAGCCATAAAAATTTTGATAAGAAACCGTAGTTTTACTTTTCAGGTATCCTTACCCTAAACTACTTTTTCTAGATAATGAAGTAATATGTAATGAAACAAGATAATGAGCAGAAAATTCTCGATCGAATGAGTCTAGAATGGAGTTTTAGAATCTCAGTTAAGTGCCCGAAAAAGAGAACAAGTGTCATTACTTTTGTGTCTCTCGTTAGTCTGAGCACTAGCCACTAGCACAGAGCAAAAGTCCCCATTGTATCAAACTTTGACTTTGGTGATCATGAACTCACATCGTGTAATGCTTCTAATGTTGGTCTTGTTTTGCCATGGGTTGAAGTTAGTGAAAACAAATTTCTATAGTGTTCAACGTGTGGCAGCGTGTCTAATGTGTCAAAAACATCGTAGGTATCACAATTTGAATTGAAATCGATTGTTTGTTGATTTCCAATGTTGAATGGTGGTCTTGTTGTCGAAAATGACGTATCACTGATTGTTTCATCATAACTACTGATAATTCTTGGTCTAACAGCAAGTGTATTTGAAAGATCTTCAAAAATAAAACAAAAAAGTAGATTAAGCCAAATTCTTCTTGTATCTTTAATTACCCGCCGGAATACTGGATGCTGTTCGAATTTGAGATAGTGTGCCATCACCGTCTCCATACACTTTCGCTATCTGAAACCTAGCACTACTTACTGATCTTGATAGACCACTGCTGCCAAGATTATTTGTTACTGATTGAGATTTAGTTGTTGTTTCTTCATTTGTCAATAACGGCAATTGAAGCATTATCGTTTACACTTCATCATCTACAAATAGACACAAATAGTGTGACAAAATGATTATCATCCTTCTTTATAAAAAATATTGCTTATTCATAGCTAATTAAAAAAATTAGAAATCAGATTGTTGCCAATAATACTTTTGTAGTGGTAATCAAATTGTTAGAAAACGTTTAGATCTATTTGATGTATGACATGAAAGATTAAAAGTATTTTTTTTGACCGAAGAAAAGATCGAGTTTCTCATATCTTATAGACAAAAGAATAAGAATGAAACACTAATAATTCATAATTATAGCAGTCTAATTCTTCTGTTCCTTGTTCTAAAATTTTTCATCACTCTAAATTTTGCTGGCTCTAACATGAATGTCAATCATACTCGTTTTTAAGTTTATAACTCTTGTTCTGCACGATTTAACTACATTCTTTTATTTTTGTAAAAAATAAAAAAAATAAAACTTCAATTATCTGTGAAGAAATGATGTTTGCATTTCAATTCGCATCTGTCTGATGTCTTGTAAATAGTTTCTGTAGAAAAGATGTATTTAGATGAGTTTTGTGCAATATTTATCATTCGTCGCTTCAATTTTTTTTTTTTGTTGAAAAAAAAAGTTTCAGCACATATGTTTATCTCATTTTTCTAATTTTGTAGAATAGAGAAATATATCAACATTTATGTTATGCAAGACATTCAAGATAATAACGATACGTTTTTCGGAGAAATTAAAATTTTTCAGCTCAGCTTTCGTTCTATTATTGAGGAGAAAATGATGAATAACAGTATTAAGCTTGAAAGATATCTTTTTGCTGTTGTACAAGAAAAATTTTAGACATCACCACTAATTTGAAAAAAGTAAATCTCCAACTTATCGCAGTAGAAATTTAAACGGTTTGCACATAATCTTAGTAAAATATACTTGAATAGTTTGCTTCCAAACTGATAAAGCAGATTCAACAGTACAGTATATTTAACATTGAATAAAAAATTGAAAAATGACACGTTTTTCATCTAACTTATAAAAGATGAAGCTACATCTACATTTCCAAACTTGATTTAAAGTAATTTGTGAAATGCTATAAAATAAGCTAAGATCGAACTAATCATTTCATTTTTCCAGTAAAGGACTAGGATCACTTCATTTTGAGATAGAAAAGATTAAAACCGTTCAAACATTAACATTTTTCTGTGATAGGAGTCTTAAACGGTTCAGTTACATCTAGGTATGCACCAGTTACGGACCAGTTAATTCCGACTGTTTTTTGGGGTATCAAGAAAAATTGTTATAACGTGGTTATTAATAATCGCTCAGACTTGCGAAACGTCTCATTTTGCAGACAAATGTTTGTTCTATACATTTGTATGGAAGAGAGAAGCGTTCTTAACGAATTACTGAAGAGGCATGAACAGTTATGTAACTGGTGACCAGTTACCACGTACAGTTACGGCATTTAAGAATTGCTCACATTTTTGTCACAATTAACTTTAACTTTTTTTTTCAACAAATACATACAACAAACATTTGTCTATGTTCCGCAAGTCTGAGAGATCCTTAAGAATCGCGTTATAACAATTTTCTTGGATGCTCTAACACCAGTTATATAACTGTTGCATGCCTAGTTGCATCCGTATGTTAGGACCTAGCCGTAATCTTTCAGAGCTTTTTTTTATAACACGCTTGATATATTTTCTTTTAAAATATTCACACAAGTCTATAATGGTTTCATTCTTTTCACGTAGCGAATATATTAATGATACAATATGAAAGGAAAACATGCCCAAAGAATGATGAATGGGCCATGTACGTAGCTAGAATTTGAAAATAGCATAGAGGCAATATCTACGATAGTTTTAATCGATCGCCTCTAACAGTATATTGAAATAGATGTGCCAGAAATGACAATAGAAGATTGCTTAGGGCTGACTCTGCTATCGTTCATTTTATAGAAAAAGATTTACTCTATATTTCGTCACACGGGAAAAAAATCTTTTCCTAAAGGTAAAAGATCCAAATCTAGCCTGATAAAATCCATATGAGTGTCCTAGTTCGTCAGCTTCGATACGCGCAATAGAAAAAAAAGCAACGCAAACTGTTTATCAACGCATTCTCTATATATTACTATTAATCTATATAAATAGATTATACTACCTATATTTTTTTTTTTTTGATGAATCGGTAAGAATTTCCGAGTTATACCAGTGGCTGGATAGAGGAAAAGGAAAATATCAGTATAAAAGTTGGATTTTTTTACCCTTGGTATCAAAATCTTTAGAAAAAAATAGTGAAATTTCTGACAAAATAACTTTATAGAGAAAATATCTTTCATTCCGTCATTATATTCTTTCGTTTTTTTTGGAGGGGATGGAGTTGGTGGTAGGAATTCTATTATCGTTTTCATTTGCAAACAAAAGTAAACTCTATTGTTTATATGTGTAAATATACAAGACTAGTTATGTTTTGATTAACTATTGACGAAAAGAAGATTTTTTTTCTATTACTAGCAATAGAATCGAAAAGAAAGTCAATAGTTTATTCATTATTTGCATTCAAAATGAATAGGTATAAATGACAAAATAAAAATAAAATAAAAAAGGGAAAAGGCGAAATTTGAGAAATCATGAATTTGTTGATTAATTTTTATCATTAGATCTAGGTTATCGTATTTATAATGAATGGAAAAAACTCAACAATATTTGTATTATTTCTCAAGCATTTCTAGAAACTGACAATATTATTGCCAAGGGAAGAAAAAAAGCATTCCAGTATTATGTAAAAAATGTAAAGTTTTTTTTTCCTCTTGAACAATTTCAACAATTTAGATAAAAAAAAAGAAAATTTTTTTAAAATGTTTTATCACTATTGTCACTCACTCGATTATAATTAAGAAAACATTTTCACGCTATTATATCTCATTTAAAGTGTTTTTATCTCCATAAATATTTGTCTTTTCCGTACAAAAGAGCTATTAAAAAAAAAATAACCATCAGGAATTTAATCCACCTTCTCTATTTAGAAAATAGATTAAATTATCTAAATATGTTCGAAATTATTATCATTTATTAGATTTTATTGTTCTTATTTGTATTATTATTCATTATGACCATAATTTACAGCCTATATAAATTGAATATTAATATATTAGTCTTTGTTACTATGTGTGTATATATATATACTATTCACACATCCATGTACCAGATATAGGATCATTTGTTAGAAGAAAAAGATAAACTGACAGAAAATAGTGTGTGTATAATATTTCTTCTTTTTTTAAATATGTCGACAGACGCAAGGAAAATATAACAGAACAAACGAGAAAAATTTATCATACGAGTCATATGTATGTAGTGTAATTTTATTCCACATTTCTGTATGATGATGGTGAATGAACACGGTGTCAAATATACATAAATAGAGACTTGTTCACTATAATATAATGCCATGCTTTCTCAATATTTTTTCTTCTTTTTGGTAATAACATTATGAAAACAGAAGCAAGAGGCAGAAGAAAAAAAAACACATACTTAGAATCTATAGATATAAATGATCTCATCGGACACTTGAAACAAATAAATAAAAATAAATAAAATCTTCAACTTTACCGCTCAACAATTCCTCTAGTCTAATCTGAATCTGTAGAATATAGAACATTTATCATTTATCAGTATAAAATATAAAATGAATTTTCTCTCTCTCTCTCTGTCTCTCTGTTTTTCTCCAACCTTTTCTCAATTTTTGTATTATACGGTTAACTGTTCTGATATGTTATTAAAAAAAATTTTTGATGCATGTCAAAAAACACTATTTTTTAAGTAATGAATTTTGTAAAAAAAACATAATAGGTTTTTCTAAAGTAGAAAAATTAAAAATTCTCTGTTAAATTTTTATTTAAATTGGTTTCAGAAAAAGATGTAGTTGTGAACATTTTTTTACTTTCAGAAAAAAGAAAGAAAAAGAAATTGAATTCATCCAAGTATTTCAAATTATTGTTCCAGGAAATAGTTGAACTAGAAGTAAACACAATTTACTACATCAGAAGCCATTCGAGTACTTTTTTGTTCCAGTCTTCAGTCATCAGCGACCAAAATCTTTTCCATTATTTTTAGTATTAATTTTTAAAATGAGATTCACTCTAAATCTACATCTTCTTTTTGGAAAGAATGAAACAAGAGAAAAAAGAGAGCGTTATCATTTTACCCGCGCCCCTCCCCCCTCCGGATCAGAAACCTATCTCAGCTTAGGTAGATCTGATCTGCATCAAACTTTCAGGGAATGTTGACCATGTCAAAGTGTGGTAACGAAATTTTTTTTTGGTGCCGCTAGCAACTGTTCGTGAGAGAGCGCCACAACGAGGACCAAAAATAGACGTCTACCACGCACAAGAATTCTCATTCCAGATAAATGATAGAGAGATCGGGCTGTTTTTGCTTTGCAGTGAATACCGCCTAGGAGTTGACAGAACCAGATTTTTGAATTTCTCATTTGCTGATTTCTGGTGTTTAACAGAACCTTAAAGTCCAAAAAACCTTAGAAATCCTCATTTCTATAAAAAATAGAAGCATAATTTAAAAATCGGACTCTCACAACTCCTAGCTGTAGGTGTTATCAAAGTTAAGAAAAATGTTCAAACAAATTGACGCAGAAAAATCTCCATGTCAAAATTATACAATTTTGAAAATTTTTCTGAACTTTTTAGCGGTAATCCAAGATCTTGAGTGAAGTAAGCTAAGATGTTTCAAGATCTTGACTTCCTGGTGTTTTTTCCAAGATCTTTTGACATTTCTTAACCCAAAATTTTGGGTACAAGAAATTTCACTATCGCTAAAAATAGAAAATTTTCCAGGTTATCAAGTGTGCTGAATACGAAAAAGCACTTTTCTTTAACTCTAAATGAACTTTAATTTTTTGTCGGTGATATGTTTGATTCTGTTAAATGCGTTTTACTTAAAAACTGTTTGAGCGTTAAATAATTTGTTGATACTTTGCTATAAGTTATCGATCATGGCAAATC